TTAACCCGTGAATTTTTTTTTTTTTTTTTTTTTTTTTTTTTTTTTTTTTTGCAGTGATTATTCTTAAGGATTCCATGAAAGAAGCGTGAATTTTCGTCTCCATCAACTAGCCATTTAAGGATTCCATGAAAGAAGGACAACCCTGAAAAAACTTTCTTTTTCTTTTCTTGAGATTCGTCAAATCAATACTCGCTAAGTTTCCTATTTGTTTTTTTTCCAATCTTTAAAGTGCCAAAGAAATTTATTGGCACTTTGGAATGTATTGTGAGAGATTTAATGTGAGGGAACGAGAAATAACTACGAGTCTTTCATGGTTGTTTAAATATCCCGTTTAACCTCAACATGAAGGATAACCTACGTCTCAGAAATCTTATCAATATGATTCCAAGTTCTAACTTGGGCGGCTAGTCCCGGTAATGACCCAAATTCTCTTCATTTTACAGACATTACTACTTACCTAGAAGTCAGTAGGAAGCTTATTTCCTTCTACTAATTAATCAAGATATCACATAGCATCAATGTTAAATTCCTTATTCTTGCACATTAGAACCTACAAACTCCAACTTGTGCAAGGGACAAAACTAATAAACAATACATTTAGTGTTAAGTGTATAACAACACGTCATTACCCCTAATCATACATGCATGTTTTTTCTTCACAAAACGCTCATTAACTACTTAATGGTAAATTATTTGTTATCTTAATCTCCCATTCATTCGAATATCATTAGACATGAGGTATAAATCAAACCATTCTCATATTAGCTCAAACATATGTTTCTTGATTTATAAATGTAAATAAGAACATTAGATTTAACTAAACATCATGTCAATATTATGTGGGTGTGACCATACATGCAAATAAGAAAATTGGACTTAATTCTAGCTCTTTAGACTATAAATTAAAAAAAATGAAGAAAAAAAAAACTCATGTTTAACACCAACCAAATTGATAACCCAATTTCCTTACACCATGATTTCCAAAATAGATAATTCTCTTCTTCTCTATTTCAACATACCATGAAAGAACTTAGAACTCATCACCCTTCATCCCAAGTAATTTAGCCTATTCTAACTATATCCAACTCCTCTACATTTTCAATTTTACCTAACTCTTTGATATCACTCGAGTCGCAAAATTATGTTATCACGTGATGTCGTCCCCAAATTAATGTGTATCTTAAAATCAGCCACTTTAATCTTTAAATCTTTTTTCTTACTTCCTTTATATTTCTTATAACTCATGTGCCGTTTTTAATTTATCTTTTAAGATGTTGTAATTTTTTTCTTAAGAACACTGATCTTATCTTTTAAGATGTAATTTTTTTTTCTTAAAAACAATGATCTTTCTTCCTTTCTCATCAAGTTCAATATCATTCGAAGCTGTCACAACCTCCTCATTAAACCCTTTCACCAAGAAACTGAAAAGGGCTTGAAAAGAATTGGTCCATACTCAATTACCAATTCTCTTGGAAGAACGGGACTATGATCATACCATGTAGGCCTGATCCTGACATTTCGGAGGTCTTGTGCAAAAATCAAAATGAAACCCCATAATTTTTTTTTTTGTAAAGTATTATTCAGTAAATTTGCTATCATTAAATTCAAAACTCACACTTACTATCAAACATCTCATAAATTCATGACCACAACATCCTGTATCCACTCCTTAGATGTTCTTGTTTCTAGGATCATACATGTTCATTGGAGTATCTTCTCTGTCATCATCATTTCCATTCAAGGTGGCTATGTGTTCATCTACACAAAGCATATCTACCATTCAAGGTGGCTATGTGTTCATCTACACAAAGCATATCTTCTGGACTTGTAGTTTAATTTCTTCTTCTCTAGGTTCTTCCACAACATCATGAACTTCTTTTCTAGGTTTTTCCACAGCTTCATGAACTTCATCCATGTTTTCTAGCACATGTAATACAACTCTTCTTCTCTATGTTCTTACGTAACTGATTCCTCATTACGATGCTGTTTTGACATTTGTTTAACGATGAATTGATTTATATCCTCTTTAACCATTAACAAATTGTTGTTCTTTTTGTTTTCTTTTTACGTTTAGAACAACCCGACTCAAAATTTCTAGTTAGAGGCAATTTTTTTAACAAAAAAAATCAATTTTAATAACTTAACAATATATATTTGTAATAATTATCAAAAGTTAATGTTTAAAATAGTTAGAGCAGCAAATAAAATTCTTGTTTTCTAACATTTCTAAGTATTAGACTATATTATATTAATATTAAAAGCCAAAAAAATGGAAAGCTCATTGCCACCCTCTCTCACCCCCACCCTAAAATTTGTTAATGCTCTATTCTAACACCTCTATATCAAACATTGAAAAGCTAAAGCTATAAAGCTAAGTGATAGTGTGATAAACATAATTCACAAGACATTATACTATATGTAAGGAAAAACAAGAACATTTTTTTTTACTTTCTCTACTATTATTCTTTAACTTCATTATGAATTCATAAATAAATCATTCAAAAAATGAGCATGTATCCTGGGAGAGAAAGAAGCTAAGCACCGGTGGGATTTTGGGAAATTTAAAGAGATACGCGCTACATTGACAATCTACTTGTACTGTTATTAGGTTTGTTAGGATTTGATCTTTTGGTGAGGTTTATAAAACCTATAACATTTGTTTGAACTTATAATAGAAACATATATATATTTTATATAGATACTTTCCTTAAATTTTTGAAAAATATAGAATTTATGAGAATATTTTGATATTTTGATTTTCTTTGTTTTTTTTTTCATAATTAAAATTACTTAAAGATTACAACCAAATGTTACATTGTGTATATAGTTAGCTGTTAATTTTCTTTAATAAAAACATATAAAAATGTATTTTATGAAAATATCAACACCATTACTATATATTTTCCCTAAATTCAGAAGCCCCTTAAAATCGGAGGCCTCGTACGACTTCACCACTCGCACACCCTCAGGGTCGTCACTAATACCATGTATGATCCAAAACAATACTTGTAATGTCATAGAAATCAAAAGCGAACACCCAGAAAAAAAAAATTCAAGGTTAATGGTCACTGGATCAAACATTTTTATGAAGGGTTCCAAGTCACGAACGAATAAGGGGAGGTATTCGAGATCCCGACATATTGAAATTGAAAGAATCAAGTAACAACGTTGAGCCAACAACACTAAAAATAGGCAGCTTAACGGGAGACAACCCGGGTGTTTGAAGTTTTTATTTCTTTTTGCAACTTTTCTTTATTTTTGGTGTGTTATATTTGAATTTTATTAGGTGGTTTTTCAAATCAAATTGTGTTTTACCAATGTCGGAAACAGAGAGAGTTTACATATTAATTTTGTTCAAAAATCGTGTCAGACTTTTGAAAATGCGATCGTATTTTCTGTTTATGCGATCGCATAAATGTGGCGAGGTTTTTAATACTGATTTTCGAGAAAAGCTAGAATTTGCGATCGAGGAATAAAAAATGTGATCGCATATCTTAAAAATGCGATTGCGAATTTTATTTTTTCATTCACATTTGTTGTTTAAGGATTGCTAAAATCATTTTCCAAAAAAAGAAGTAAAAAATGTGATCGCATAAACATATCTGCGATCACAGATTTTATAAAAAACCTTCGCATTTAGAGTCGAGGCTCGCAATAACGGAAACGGAAGTTAACCAAAAAATGCGACCGCATAATGGTCACAGTTTTTCAAAAAAAAAAAGCCTTTAAATTCATGTTTCCTCCTTATTTTACCTCACACACTTTTAGAAACTGAAAATTCTCTCTAGATTTCCTTATCACTCGAAATACACTGAAAAAGTCATAAATTTCTTGTTTATTGTCCAAAGCAAGCATAAAAGGTATTTAAATCTTTATTTTTTACTTATACTACGCTTCTATGCTTCTGAATACATGATTCCAAGGTCGAAATTTTCCAACATTTCCTTGTTCTTCATTTTGAATTTTAAATTTTCCTCAAGCTACTTTTTCAAGTCTACACCTTGTTAGAACATATCAGGAGCTAGAAATTGGATAGTTTATTGTAGGCACTATACAAAAGAGTTTCATTGGATCAAAAATCGAAAAATCAAAAAAATTTCAGACATGAAAAATACACTGTTGCTCAGCGCGCAGTCAGGTATAGTCGTTCCGATACCAAGACTCTTTATTTTATGCAAGATATATATGTGCGGTCTTGTGTATCCACTTGGGAGTAGTTAATTAGTTATTTTTTATTTTATATAAACTTATCTGAGAAAATATGTGCCAAACCTGTCCCTATTCCCCACTTACCTGAAACATGACTCCATGAACACAGCGTCGTCGCCGTGACGCTGACATTCTAGGAGAGCCCTTTACCATTCAAGAGGAAGGTGTAGTGGTAAATCTGAACTCCCATGTTGCACTAGAAGAGTACAATCGGCTTCGTTCTAGAGAAGTCGATGCTCAGACCTAGGCTCCCAGTCCCATTCTTCTTGAGAAGCTACACATTTCTGAGGGGATTCACACTCTCTTTGATAACATTGGTTGGGAGAGGCTTTTGGACTTTGAATTCCCGACATCACCTCTGTTAACCAGAGAATTTCTATCTACTCTTAGTGAAGTTAGTCATGACGGTTACTTCATGTTCCGTTGATTTTAGCAACACTTATCAACTTCATGTAGATCAACTTTGTGGTTTTTTTCAATGTGCCTGCTATGAACCTTTCAGCGAGTCATGTTGGTTTTTATGCACCAACTTTCTGGAAATCCATTACTAGTCTGAACACGTACCATACTTCTTCATCTTATCAGAATAATACTAGCCATCTCATCCTAAAAATTGGTTTGAAAATTCTTTTCGCCCAAGTTGAACCTTCTAAGGATGGAAAAGGGCCACAGTGACTCGTTCTTATCACCCACATTTTGGTTATTAACTTGTGAAACGATTCACAAGGTTATTCGTTTGTGTTCTGGGGCTGGAAAAATTTTCTGTGCTGGCATAATCACTTTAATCGCCCATGCTATTACTGATCAAATTCCCCGAGAGTACTAGTTCTTCGAGGGGGACTCTTCACGTCTTACTCTTTAGAACCTCGATAGCATGCATATGTGACGATCAACTCCAGGTGGCTATATCTGGATACACGAGCGTGGTCGTTACTTTCGGGTCACTGACCCTTCCTCTATCGCATTGGCTAATCCCATTAGTTCTACCAGATGGCTTCTCAAGTCCAATATGACTGTTGTTGATTTTGTATCTGACCCTTAGCAGTCGAATGTCCCACGCCTCCAGTATCACCTCCCTTCTTCTTCTCGTCACCCTGACTCCCCTTCCTCTTCTACTATTCATCAGGATTATACGGATGCAACCCACCTCCGAGCTGTCCATGACAACGACTATTACGTTTCTCCTAATCAGATGCACACAGACTTTCAGACTGATTTTCAGGATCCCCCACAACCCCCACCTCAAATTGACCCCAACACCCCTCTCACTTATGAGCACTATCTTAACCTCCAACAGAGCATCGACAATCTTCGACTCAATGTTTAGCGTGTAAAGACGACATTTTTAGGTGAGCTTCATAGTTTTCGTGAGGAGGCGTACTGTTAATTTCCATCTCCTCCTCAGTAGACCCTTCCTTCACCTTCCCAAGCATTATTTTAAGCTTGGGAAGTAGATTTCATCTTTTTGTACAAAATCTTTATTTTCTGCTGCATTAGTTTTTATAAAAAAAAAATCCAAAAATTTTAAAAAATCCAAAAATATTTTTCGTTTATGTTCTTAGTTTTCCATTTCTTCACTTAGTTTTTATTTTTAAAAAAAAAATTCAAAACCCCCAACAAAAATATTTTCAGTGTGTTTCCTTCAGTTTTTTATAAAAAAAAAAAAAATACAAATATATTATCTTATTTTCTACATGTTTGCATATGCATTTATTTAAAAAAAAGCAAAAAATTTTCTGTTTTGTTAAGTTCAAAACAAATACGAGATGAGGATACTCTTTACATTCGATAGCTCTGCGAAGATGGAAAATGAAAATCTGAAATGACCGGATCGTTATTGGAAATGTAGAATCAGCTACCATAACTAGGGGATCTAAGCACCGTGATCTGAGACCCCGACCGTAGAAAAAAATGGTGTACTGAAACACTTTGTGGGCAGTAATAACAACTTTGGAATGATTTGTTTATGAATTTTTAAAAAGAACCTTTATCAACTAGTCTGAACCCATAGAACATAAACGTATTTGTTGACACGTGTTGCCTTTGGGTAACTGAGAACCTTATATCAGATCCACACAGTCAAGAAGAAAAGAAAGGTACAACTATCATATCCAATACCCAATTTGAATTTCAAGCACTTAATCATCCTTAACCTCAACCTCATCCTCATCCCCTATGTCAAATGGGTCAACCTTTTCTCCATCATCAATTACTTCTTCGAGGCCCCTTACTTCTTCCTTCATGTTATCAACAATTTCCTCATTCTCTTCATCTAACCATTCCTACATGTTAGTATTACCAAAATGGTCTACATAGATAGGGAGTATGACACCACATTCGTACGCAATTGCTATGAATTCGTCATAATTGTTCTCATTCCTAATTAAGGTCAAACCTTTTTGGAAATCTATATCAGGTTGGCAGTAGTAGAGCTTCTCACACATTTCTCCACTTAACCTTGCCATGAATGCATAACACTCATCCTTGTACATGCCTATGAAATCGATGTCGACCAACCTCTGAGTAACCCCATCAGTGTAACATATGGGGTATTTCATGAAGATTCCTTGGAATTGCACATCCATAACGATGTATACATCATCCTCTTTGAGTTATGAGGAGAGAAATGTTGAAAAAGGGTTTTCTGGAAGAGATGGAACGACGAAAAATCTTCGTTGGTAATCATCTTCTTAAAGGCGTAAAGAACACACTGCATAAATGATTTGGCATTAGTATATGATGTGGCAATAAACGAAGGACACTATCAGCTCTCTTTGTTTTCTTATTAAAGGAGGTGGCTAAAAAGTGACCGAGTTACCCCTTCAAACCTTAAAAAAGTGACTTATTCGACCCGACAAACTTAAATTCCTTCCCTCATAAAGCCAAGAAAATAATTTAGGGACTTAACGGGTCAACCCTAAAAAGTTTGTAGGACAATTGTGTCATTTTCCCTAAATTCCCAACCCCATTTTTGCTCTAAGAATAATAAAAACAGAAAAAAAATGAAAATATTTATGAAGACGATGAAACACACACACAGACATCGAACATATCTCTAGCCTATGAAGCAATATGAAACTTATCCAACCAGATACAAAATTATCCAAGACAGAGAAATCAAATTGCTGTCCATTTCTCTGTTGACAATCACTCTCAAAAATAAAAAGTTAATGAGAGACGAAATTCAATAATCCGATAAGTAAAAAAAAGTACTAAAAAAACTAGATGATAAATATATAAATATTTTTAAGGAAATAATTTCAATCCAATTTTATTTACAACATCCCAATCAGAAATGAAACCAATGATCTAATATAGACGATCCTAGTGTAAAAAACACTTTAAAAAGTGTAACTTTTAACACACCACAAACATAAAGAGGATACATATTTTAGTTATATTTATTCAAATCAAAACATAACTTGTTGAAAAAAGAAAAATAAACAAATAAATAAAAGATTTTCTAATATGTGCCCTAAAGGCATATATAAGAACTATTAATTATAAAAAATATTATCATAATTAAATTCAAAGTACATTTATTATGGAGATTATTAATACATTTCAAATTTAATTATGGTATAATTAATGTATTTTATATTTAATTATGCTAATATATATTTTTTTGAACGGCTCAATATATATATATATATATATATATATATATATATATATATATTAGAAAGAACCAACTAGAGGCTGGGCAGTTACAGAAAATAAACAAAAACATAAGAACAAAGAGAAAATACGTAATTTAAAATCAACACCCAAATATCTGATGGGCAATATCTGAGTGACTGAAAGAGGTAACTAGTGCCCAGTGGAGAGGATGACTAGAGGTCGACAGCAGCAACAACCAACATTGAGTAACACCTTTCAACAACAGCAAATATAGGGTTGCCCTAGTATATTCAAGAGTATAGGACTTCCTTAAAACCAAATTTTTTGTGGAGCAGACAATCCACGACCTATTTGCATAACAACGCCAAGTGACTTTACTGCTATCCCATTGCCCATTAGGGGTATTTTTGGACCAGAACTAGTCTCCAACTTTTGCATATCCATGATCCTAGGTCACAGCTGATAACACCATTCTGTATGCATCAAGCCTGGTAGACAGCTTTAGTGATTCCGCCACCCCGTTAATAGGGGCAATTTGGTCAACACTTCCAACAACAACACCTCCACCTTCTGGTTAAAATTGGCTTAACTAAAATGTGTTTACATGCACTTGGGAGAATATTCCAATCAAAGAAAACATTTACACACACCAAAGCATATCCCCCCAACCCAATACCCACACGAAAGAATCAATTAAGACACTAAAAAGAATATCCGACGCAACATATATCCTAATTGATGTCTACCCTATGAATTAAAAACACACACTAGTTGCGCCGAGATAAGTCACCAAGAGACCCCAAATTATCCCCTTACCCCCCCCCCCCCCCACCCCCACACCCCGGTTAATGCGTCGCCAACTTCAACATACAACCGATTAAAGATGAGAAATTATGAACACTATAACTGTAACACCCCAGTCACTTCAGAAGACAACAAGATGTCTTTTTTTTTCCACCATCCAAACCAGGGCCACATCCCAAGAGCATATCACTTATCACTTGTATTGATTGGATCGAAACACGAGTCCTTCCATTCAATTGACCTATTTTTTAACCTCACATTTATCCATAAGTGTGATATCGTTTGGATATCATTTGCCATACCATTGTGAGATTTTATTTTTCCTGAATAGGCCTTCGAGTTTCTGTAATTCCAGATGATCCATATGTAGACTAGCATTATAGCTGACTGGAGTTGAAGTGTGATGTTTGATGTCCCATTTTTCCAAAACAAGAGAGAGTCTGGGAGTGTGCGCCACCAGGTTTTGAGACTATTCCAGACCTCAACAGAGATTATGCAATTGAGAAAAAGATGTTCTTCAGTTTCAGTTTCTTGCTCGCATAGTATGCACATGGGGTTAGTTCCAATTCCTCTCTTCAAGAGGTTCGCCCTTGTTGGGATCCGACCGTGAGCCACTCTCCAGGCCAATATATTGACCTTCTTAGGGACTCGATTGTTCCAATCCAAGACTATTGTTGATTTAGGCCGTGACATTTCGTCAATCAAAATCCGTAGGGAAGAGACCGAGTATATTCCTGATGGTTCCAACTTCCAGCTCCAATTTGATCGCTGATTAGACTGAGATTCTGTGAAGAGTTCTTTGAGGTTAATATTTTCTTTTGCAAGAAATATTTATCATTAATTAATGATTCTTATATGTGTCCTTAGGACACATATTAGAAAATCCCAATAAATAATGACGATTTTGTTTTTCTATAATTAAACAAAGAGGTCACTACAAATAAAATGACATTTAGTGGCACAAAAAAAGTGTCACTGAAAACCAAAAAAGTGCCACTACAAACAACTTTGGCAATCAACGGCACAAAAAATAAGCGTCACTAGAAGCGCTCCCACTAAAGGCCTTTAGTAACACTTTTTGGTTGTGTCGCTGTAGGTTTATGGAGTTTTAGTGGCACTTTTTATTATGCCACTAAAATACTATTGGGTTTTAGTGACATTTTTTGTGCCACTAATATAATTGCTAATACAAATACTATTTTCATACTTTTAGTGACACATTTTTTCACCACAAAAAAATTATGTTCAAAAACTAGATCATGCATACAAAATTGTATAAAATAAAATAAAAGTTACACACAATGAATTGTTCTTAGAATTTAATAATAATCAAGTATTTAAAAAAAATCATAAATTGCTACTTGTGTTTCGTTCTCTACTATGTTTCTGCTTACAACAATCAAGAAGCAATAAAAAAATTACATCATAATTTCATTACAATTTACGGACCTCTTCCTGCCCCTACCATGTTTGCTAAACAAGGCCTATACGTAAAGGGCAAAGATGGAGTTGTTTACACTCATTATGTGCATTCACAGCTTGTGCCATTTTTCAATATACATCTCCTTTTTTACAAGCATCTCACAACATCATGATCAATGTGGGATTTGGTATAGAATTAGTGACTACATTGGGATAATACCTTTTATGCAGGAACTGCTATTGGTCTTGTGCTGCTTTTAATACCTTTTGTTGCTATAAAAATGGTTAATGGTGATGAAAGCCAAAATAAAGGAATAGAGCTACCATTATTTACTTTTCTATAATAGATAAAGCCACTGATAGTTTTGCACCCACAAATAAACTTGGAGAAGGTGGAATTGGACCAGTTTATAAGGTAATACTTAAATTTTATATAGAAAATACATGAAAGAAAGTCACCCTGGGGTTTGTATTGTTTTTAATACGTCTAAATGGTAATTTCCAGGGCATACTAGAAGAAGGGCAAGAAGTGGCAGTTAAGCATCTCTCCATGACTTCAAGTCAAGGACTTGATGAATTCAAAAATTAAGTCATTTGCATTTCAAAACTTCAGCAACGAAATCTTGTTAGATGGAAATGAAAAGTTGTTGATCTATGAATACATGCCAAACAAAAGTTTAGAGTGATTTATATTTGATTAGAATTACATAACTGCCATTCATCAATTCACCATTAGGAAAATCCCTATCTGATAGAAACTGTATGTTGGACACAGATAAAAGACGAAGCTCACTACTTGATTTAATCATATTACTGCATAAATACTTTATGTTATATGATATAAATCATAATTTATGTCTAATTGCAGTTTGAACAGGAGGCTAATGAGGTCAAATTACACTCATATAAAACTATGGAGAGTCAGTTAACATACCTGATTGACCTGATTGATCTCTTTCAGTAGAGTTGTGTTCTTTAGTAGTAGACTAGCCTCCTTCAGTAGTTTGTGGATGACCTGATTGATCTCCTTCAGTTGTAGAAAGCTCAGAACTTTGATCATTAATCTCATTATCAATACGTATATCAATTGAGGTGATGCATAACCTCTTATGCCTACCCATCCTGCTATAAAACCACAACAAATAAGTACATGTTATATCCATATATATAAAATTTGCAGCAAATTCAAGGAAAGAGACAAGGAGGCCACCAAAACCAGTGAAGAAAATATGATATATAGCTCCTTAGTCCTTATAGATATATAAAAGTTGAAAATGGAGCGTGATTTAAGAAATCAGAGCTCCTTATAGATTTCAGTTCTCCATGTGAGGATGTTCTATTTTCCTACATATTTTTCTAATTAATCCATGTTATAATCTTTATATGGTTAAGGTGTTATCTGATCTTATGGTAGAACATAAATCTTATGTTAAACCAGATTGATTAATTTCATCTATTTCAATTCTTCACATTACACATAAATCTAATAAATATTACAACAGGATAACGATTGATTCAACAACTAAGCATTTCAAAGTGCATTAATTGGTATCAAAATTTTCACAATATTAATCCATGATATAAGACTAAATCGTTCTAATAGAATACATTAAGAGTAGGAGTAGAAAGTTAGCAGCAGAAATTGAAAACTTAACTTACTATACAAGAGTTGGACTAAGGAGATGACGATGTTGTTAAAAAAATACAACACCGACGATGGCGTAAGGAGATGACAATGTGGAGTGCGGGAGTGTGATTGTGCGGTGGTGTGATTGTGTAGTGGCGACGAACTAGAAGACGGTGGCAACGATCTAGACGATGGTGTCGTGATGGTGCAGCGATGACGATGGGAAGATGGTGATCGTATGCTCAAATACTCGTTATCAGCGGGGGTGGGTTTAGGTCTGGACTATTTGGGGCAAATTATAAATATATATACTTTTGTTTGTGAGTTACAGGTACCGTAGCTAATAGTATGACGTTTATTGCACATTGTACAACCATCATCTTCGTGGTATCACTTGATTTAATTCATAGTTACAGAAATGGCCCTTATATTCTTCTTCCTTAATCCTAATTCATTGAATTTATAAAATAATTTCTATACTTTTTTCCTTTTTACCAGTCTTGTAAAGGTTTTGCTAACGTCTTGCACCTCATTTTCCAACATGATTTGTTTCGTTGGAGAATAAATTAATCCAAATTATAATTATGCCCCTGTATTTTTATAAATTATTCAAAAAAAAACATTTAACTTACAAAAATAACCCCTACACTCTTATTAACTTGATAAATTATCTTATGCTAATTTTTTTAAAAAACTTTTAGTGTTTTTAGACACATTATCATGCACCATTTTTCTATTTCTAATAAGAAATTTGTTGATTATATCAAAAAAATATTGGATTAAAATGTCCGATGCAACGTGCATAAAATATGTCACTATAAACATGTTATAGTGCCATTAAATCCATTAAACTTTATAGTGACACGTAAAATATGTCACTATAAACATGCTATAGTGGGGCATCATACATATGCCATTAAAAATGTATGCCACTAAATGACATTTAGTTTGTAGTGGGTATTTAGCTATTTATCTAAAAATGACTTTTTAATGACTTATTGAAAAGTAATAAGTTAAAAAAATATTTGGATATAAAAAACCTTTTAAACAACTTTTTGTTTAGTATTTGAAACAAGAAGTAACAATTTCTAACTTCTTGAAACAACTTATTACTTATTAGGTTTAAAAAGTAGATAAAAGATAATATTAAACTAGGGATAAGCATTTGTAAAGAGGAACCGGTCGAAATTGGTTTCGGAACCGGAACCGGATAGAACTGATAGGACTGGGATCGTGACGATATTTTTGTGAATTTTTGGAACCAAGAGCCGGTAGGAACCGATAAACCGGAACCATATGTTGCTATTTCTCGAGGACAAATTGGTTCCAACATTGAAGACACGACAAAAACTGATTGGAACCGCAACCGGTAGAACCGGCGATTCGGTTCGGTTCTTATTTTCCACAAAATTCGATTTCTGGGTGCCCATCATTATATTAAACAAAATACTTTTTAACTTATTGATTTTTTATGATTATAAAACCTATCCAAACACTAATTTAAAAACTGATTTCCACATCTACACAAGACAATAAATCCTTTGGAATAAAAATTCTTTTTAACGTCGAATGAAATCCCTAACACCCTTAAAGTATTACCCTCAAAGTATTGGAGGTGATAATCTGCACACGACTGTCTATAGAATTAGAAGACGTAGGAGCGAGGAACAGAGCTACGCAAAATGGAACGACGCCGCATACAAACGAATCTCTATTTCTCGAAACTCTGAAATTCTGGTATGCAGTTATCTATGCAAATGGCCGTCTCTGCTAAAACTCCAACGGTTTCTTCATGCCACTCCGATCTCTCAAACTCTCTTCACCATAACCAAATCTCCCAAACCATTAATTTCTTAGTTTCATCACGGAGCTGTAAACTTTCCCTACAAAAGAAGCATAAAATATTCGTAGTCAGCACTGATTCCATCGACACTAGAGACCCCAATTCCGTCATATGCGATCTTTGTCTCCGTGGGAACCTCGAACAAGCTCTAATACAGCTAACTGCAATGAAAAAACTCCGACTTTCGGTCGAAGAAGAAACTTACATCACAGTAATTGACCTCTGCGAGCGGAAACGAGCAGAGCCTCAAGGGCGTCAAGTGTACATTTTAATAAAGAATTCGACAACCCAATTAAGTATCAGACTTGGGAACTCGTTGTTGAGTATGTTTGTTAGGTTGGGTAATTTGGTCGAAGCATGGTATGTGTTCGGTAAAATGTCTGAGAGAAATGTATTTTCTTGGAATGTATTAATCGGTGGGTATGCTAAAGCAGGTTACTTCGACGAGGCTTTAAACCTATATCATCGAATGTTGTGGGCTGGACTTCTACCAGATGTGTATACTTTCCCTAGTATTTTAAGAACTTGTGGGGCCATACCTGATTTACTCAGAGGAAGAGAAGTCCACCTTCACGTATTGAGATTCGGATTTGAATCTGATACTGATGTGAATAATTCCCTAATCACCATGTACGTGAAATGCGGGGATGTGTATAGTGCTCGCATAGTGTTCGATAAAATGCCTGTAAAAGACACCATATCATGGAACGCAATGATTTCTGGATATTTCGAAAATGACAAGTGTCTTGAAGGCCTAAATCTATTTCTTGACATGCTTCATCATTCTGTAGCTCCAGATTTGATGACTATGACTAGTGTAATCTCAGCCTGTGAATTCATTGGAGATGAAAGATTAGGAAAAACCCTTCAAGGGTACGCCACAAAACATGAATACAGAAAAGATGTCTCCATTGACAACTCATTAATACAGCTTTACTCAAGTCTTGGATCTTGGGAAGAAGCAGAAAAGATTTTCACCCGAATTACATCAAAAGATGTGGTATCATGGACATCCATGATTTCAGGATACGAGAACAACTCCCAACCCGAAAAAGCTCTTGAAGTCTACAACAACATGAGAAAAGACCATGTTGCCCCTGATGAGATCACTCTTGCTAGTGTTATTTCCGCTTGTGCTTCATTACAACTCTTGGATATGGGAATCGAGTTACACGAGTTTGCAAAAAAGACTGGACTTATATCATACACCATAGTTGCCAATTCTTTAATCGATTTATATTCCAAATGTAAACTTATCGATAAGGGTATAGAAGTCTTTCAACACATTCCCAACAAGAATGTGATATCATGGACTTCAATCATACTTGGTCTCAAGATCAACAATAGAAGCCTTGAAGCTCTTAGTTTCTTTAGAAAAATGAAACTCACTTCAACTCCCAATTCAATCACATTAATTTCAATCCTATCTGCTTGTGGTAAGATAGGAGCTTTAATGGCAGGAAAAGAGATACACGCGTACACCTTAAGAGCTGGACTAGCTTGTAGCGGATCAAAATATCTACCAAATGCACTCCTTGACATGTACACAAAGTGTGGAAAAATGGACACTGCATTGATCCAATTCAATTCACAGCATAAAGACATTACTTCTTGGAATATTTTATTAAATGGATATGCACAAAGAGGAAAAGGGAAAGAAGCAATTGATTTATTTAACAAAATGGTAAAAGAATCAGTAAAACCAGATGGGGTTACTTTCATTTCTTTATTATGTGCTTGTGGTAGATCAGGTATGGTGGAAAAGGGTTTGGAGTATTTCAACATCATGACAGAAAATTACAATCTTACCCCTAACCTAAAGCATTACGCTTGTGTGGTTGATTTACTTGGACGCAATGGGAAGCTTGAAGAAGCTTATCTGTTCATCAAAAAAATGGATATAAAACCGGATATTGCAATATTTGGAGCTTTGTTAAACTCATGCAGGATTTACAGTTGGGTTGATTTAGGGGAGATTGCAGCTAGAAGGATATATGAAATGAATGAGAAAGATCAAAGTGTTGGATATTATACCCTTTTGTGTAATTTTTATTCTGATATTGGTAGATTTGATGAAGTAGGGAGATTGAAAAGGGTTATGAGAGAAAAGGGGGTGACAGTTGATCCAGGGTGTAGTTGGGTGGAAGTGAAGGGAAGTGTTCATGCGTTTTTAAGTGGTGATAAAAATTATCCTCAAGAAAAAGAAATTGAGGGTGTTTTGAATGGTTTTTATGAGAAAATGGGAGAAAAAGAGTATGGAGTTGATGATGATTGTAAAGATGAGGTTTTATGTGGGCATAGTGAAAGATTGGCGATTGGATTTGGGTTGATAAATACAGCTCCTGGGATGCCTATTAGAGTCACGAAGAATCTTTATATGTGTGAAGAGTGTCATGATTTGGTGAAGTTTGTTTCGAAAGTTGTGAGGAGAGAGATTGGTGTGAGGGATATTGAATGTTTTCATGTTTTTAAGGATGGGTTGTGTTCTTGTGGGGATGTTGGGTTTAAGCCAAAAGGTTTGAAATGAAGGGAACAAGTTTGTGATGTTATGATGTGCATTTTGTTTATGTATATGATCTTGGTATATATTTGTAATTGGAAATGTTTTTTTTATTTATATTTATGGTAGATTGAACAGATTAACAGTTAATGGCGGTGGTAGTGATGGTGGTTGGTGGTGGTGGTGGTGGTAGTGGATGGTAATAAAAGATTTAGACCATTAGGCTCATTTTTTTGATGTAAAATCAAATTTGACATGGCCTAAAATAAGAATTTTTTTTTTTTTTTTAATGGCTTGAAACAACGAAAAATAATTTATTTACTTGCATAATCTAATTTGATTACCATATTCGAAAATTTTAACTGTAAAATCGAATTTCATAGGCTTTGAAAAAACAGAAATTATTTTTAAAAAAAAAATGGTATTTACTAAAATGATTTTAGTAAATAACATCCTTTTTTTTTTTACTTTATTTTAAAAAATAGCATTGTGGCCTAAAATAATAAACTACCTATTTTTTATTTTATTTCAGAAAATAACATTGTATTTTCATATGTCCTAAAATATTTTCAGTTCCAAAGACCACCAGGATCATTTTGTTGTTTCATCAACAAAAAATCATGTTCATTTTTAATGTATGTTAAGATTGAAATAGAAGATTTTGATTTAGTTTTTAACTAGGTGTGAGACCTATGTATTACATGGGTTTAATTAAAAAAACAAATATAAAATTTTAACAATTTGAAAAGTTTGAATTTATAAGAAAAATGAAAAAATTTGAATTATTAAAATTAATAAGACTTTAATGTATTGAATATATTACATATATAAACTATTTCTAATAAATACTTTACATATATATTACCTTACACATTAAATGTGGAAATTTAATTTAATAAAATAAAAAATACAATAAAATGACAAGTGGAAAATATAAATTTTAAAAATTCTAGAAAATATCATGTGTTCAAATGAATGAGAAGATGACATGTGGCAAAAAAACCTTCATTTATTATAGGAGATATAAACTTTTTTTTAATAAAAACCTTACATATATAGTACCTTATATATTAAATGTGGAACTTTAATTTAATAAAATGAAAACTACAATAAAATGATAAGTGGAAAATAGAAAATTTAAAAATTCTAGAAAATGTCATGTATCTAAATGAATGAGAAGAGTACATGTGACAAAAAACCTTCATTTATTATAGTAGATGGGGTTTTCCTTATTTTTCGTGGGATTGCTTTACTTTAATTAGATTCTTTGGGACTTGCTTTACAAGCCAAAATATTGCAATTCTATGACTTGAAAACTTCAAAGATTATGTTAAAATAATTTTATGATACAGAGGATTTGAGGTTCTGTTAGGTAGATTATTCATTATGTTTTTACTGGTATAATATACTTTTTTTGAAAATCATTTTTTTTAAATCAATCTATGTATTTATTTGTTCACTAGGTTATAACCTGGGAAATCCTCGGTTTGACAACTTAAAATAGCTAAAATAATACTTATTATAATAAGTGATTTGCGAAAACAAGAAGTAAGCAAATTTAAATCTATGTATATAAATAAAAACTAAGAAACTAAAAAGAAGGAATACTATTTAGATTGTAAATTGACATTCTAATGAGAAATCAAATTATCGATCCTTAAATTTGATATACTTAAGATAACAACCATAATCATACATGGTAGTACCCTATCCTTGTTCTAAAAATCCTAAAACAAAAGGTAATCCAACAAAGGTACATGTACATAGTTTCAAACCATCCTTACATTTGTTTTCCAAATCGGTCACAACTCGAATTCAAAGAAAAAATAATAATATGACATACCAACTACTAGTAATTTTACTATGTACAGGATAACTTAACCATTTAAATTCAAATGGACTCATATAATTTGGTGTAAAATGTATAGTCTAATAATGCTAAGACTTTCAAAGAAAAAAAATGTAATTTTCCACATATTCATAGTCCAGGATTCCAGGTACAGTGTCACACCCCAAAAGCGATGGCGGAAACGTTCCGGAGTGGATGACGTCATGTAAAGTATCGCAACCAATGTACATAGTAAGCATAGTAAACACAAAACATTACATTACATAGGAATAATTACATTTTTTGAAAGTAAAGTGATACATGTTTTATCTATACAATAGTTTAAACAAAAGTAAAGACGTGTCTGCTAAAACGCTTTGTCTTCTCCAAAAGATCGCGGGTAACTGTCTAATGTGGACCTGAGAATACAAGCAGTTTGAAAATCAGCATAAAGCTGGTGAGTTTATAAGCGGTTTGTTTTCTGAAAATCAACAAGTTTCCTTTGGTTTTCCGAAAAGTTTGTTATCCAAGAAAATCTCATATTTTCTTATAAGTAAAGTTTAGTTATCCGTTTGTTATACGATCTGGTTATGAACTGTTCAGTTATCCCAGGAAAAACCCTTATTTTCCTTAAAAGTTTGTAGTTGGTTATCGGTTCTGAATGTAACATACTTGTAAGTGTTTGTGAAGTTTCCTGAAAACCTGGTTAACCTTGAAAAGTACATTAGTTTTAACACGTATATAAACTAATAAGTAAGTAGAAAAGTATTTATAATCTAAATTGCAAGTTCCATAACCATACAATAGACTAGATAATGCTCGAAACAGGGGCCATTATCGTTTTATGACTTTTGTCACCCTTGAACCTTTCATTTCGACTTTAGCTAGCAGCCAGGTGCGGGGTTGTTAATCCCGTATAGCTCTATACACTCAAGTCACGCTCTCCCTCCAGGAGATTCTGGTTACGGGGGTAGTCCTACACTCTCGTATCTAGGGGGAGTGTTACCAAAGACGTGTCTCCAATCTTAAGATTAATAAATTTTAAAAGTAGTCCTTCACTCCTGAATCTAGGGGGAGTGTCACCAAGGACTGATATAGGTTCGAAGTTTAATGTTATTGTTCCTCTACTCTCTTAACTAGGGGGAGTGTTAAAGTTCTAAGTTCAATGTTATCAGTCCTTCACTCTCGTATCTAGGGGGAGTGATATCAAGGACGTTTTAAAGTTCTAAGGTTCATGCTTTTAACAGTATAGATGTGAAAATTCATTTGTGAAATATAAAATATAGCATTTTAAAACGAGTTTCACAATTAGTTTGACGGTTTACTCTGCAAGTTGAACGATTGGTTAATACAGTTGCCAATGTTAAAAGCATACGAAATATGAAACATTTTAAATGAAATCATAAGTTGGAGTACAATATTTCCTTGTACTTTTGTTTGAATTCCCCCCTGAAAACATTGAAAACATGGAAAAACGTAGGGGTATGAACTCACCAGTCGAGAAATGTGTCGGTTGGATGCTATGTGTCAATTAAAGGCTTGAGAACATGCGAGGTTCCTATGTAATATGAAGAGATACGTAATTTTATGTAATTAGACTTTGAACCACTAATTAGATAAGACAGTACACTTTGAGATGCGAAAACACTTCATTTCAAGTGTTAGAAGTGACCCGGGTAGCATTTAAGGATGTGTAGGGCCTAGATAAGGAGTTTACTCTTCAAGAGTAAACCCTTAGGGGAGTTTACGGTCCAAATACCATATACCCATGAATTTACGACCTTAAACTCATGGGTGGTGTGTTCTGGGATGCTTAATGGTCTTACAATGCACAAAGGAAGGTTCTAGGGTTGATTCAATGGCTTAGGAAGTGATTGGGACTTGAATTGACCTTGGAAAAGGAGTTTACGGTCTATGAAGGTGTTCTTGGTGAGTTTACTACCGTAAACTCATGTTTGTCCATGATTCATGTGATTTGGTGGTTGAAGGTTAAGTATGCTAAGTTCTAGACCCATTTCTAAGCCATACAAGGTGTTAAGGGCACTTAAACACCTCATTGAAGGTGTTTATGGTCTAAGAAGAGGTGTTTACGGTCCAAGAATGTTCTTGGGCCGTAAACTCAAGTTTACTCCCCAAATGGTAAGATTTTGGTGTTCTAAGTCCAATCCTGCAAGTCCAAAGGTCTTAACTAAGCACTAGAAGTGATTTGGAGGGGTTTTGGGGCTTCAAAACCCTCTTATCAGAGTTAACGATTTTGGGAGATGTTCCCAAACTATAAACACATGTTCTTGATGCATTTGGATGGTTTAAACACGAATTTGAATGATAAACAAGCTTAGTAACAAGCTAGGATAGATTACTTACCAATTTGAATCTTGAAAGGGGTGTTTTTGGATCAAAGTCGAGTTTTAGAGAGAGATAGAGAGAGAGAGAGAGAGAGAGAGAGAGTAGTGAGAGAAAGTTATGAGGTGGTGGTAAAAAGCTAAATTGAAGTTCACTCATCCTTTATATAAGGCTTGAGTTTGTGGCCCGGTGGAAATCTACCCGATACTGACGTTAAACGAGGCTTTTGGTCGTACCCGATTTATTTGCCGTAATCCGACATGGTCAAAACTTAAAATTTTTCCAATTCAAATTTGGGATGCTTTAACTTGTTTCTAATGGGTTTGGACACTCACGAGATTATAATAAAGGTCTCAATTTAATTAACTTAACCCAAAAGTTAACGAAAAAATTGGAAATACAAACGGTTCTATTAACGGAAACGGGTTACAGTGACAAAATAAATTACGGGTTGTCACATACAGTCTAAGCATGGCCCCCCCACCCCTACCAAACCTGCATTTTCATATGTAGAGAGTAATATGTTATAATGAGCACATGATGATGATGATGCAGATATCCCATTTTGTTCTCCATCAAACAAATGGCTTTCTCTGCTTCCATATACTTGTGGGTAGTTACATGAAAACATTTTGGCCATCAGAAGCATGAAAGCAAGATTGCTAACTGTAGACATGAAAAAAGTGATCTGAAGGTGCCTTTCTTTCTAACTTTTACCGTGTTTAATTAAAACTGAATTTTTTTTAAATTTCTTTTTTTTTCAAAATCAATTGATTGTTCAAAGTAAACTACTATTTCTTATTATAACAGAAAGGAAGTCATATATTTTAACCAAATTCATTGGAGTAGTTCGCAA